ATATAAATCATGATATCATATGTATATAATTATATATAAAACCTGTATCTGAAAAATAGAAAATGAAAATTTATGACTAGTCTATAAATTTTAAAATTAGCTATAATTAATATATAAATATCAATGACTGGTTTATAGGAGTAATTGGATTAAAAATATGAAGTATATTGTTATGAATAGCCTTTTAAAGGTGTTATGCAAATTCACTTGCATTTATCACATAGAAACAATTATTTTGTTCTATCATATTTGGCTAATATAAATCTACTATACACCAATCTTTTTGATGAATACTATAAATACAATAAATAAAGCAATACATTATAATATGTAATTTTTCAATTGAATCTGACTTCTTATTTACTTCTATTAAGAGTTAAATATACAATAATACTTCAGGTTTATCATCTTAAACATTAATGATTTATTTCACTACTTTTTCTAATGATCCTAATGCATAGAAAATTGCCATAACATTAGTATTAAAAACTAATATAATTAAATGTAATATTTTAAGATAAATGCAAATAAGTAAAATCTTTCCATATTAATTCTAATATATGTTTTGATAATTACCAAGTAATTGATAATTATTTCTCAATCCCAAAAAACTTCTGTTATTTACATATTAGAAATGAGCTCACAAATAATACTTACCTATATTGATACATGCCTGTACAAAGCTTTGTAACCCATAATAAAGTAAAACAATTTTTCTAAATCAAAAAATCAAACTGAAAAACCTTCCACTTAACCTGAGAAGAAAGATTGACCTTAAATTATTCTGAGAGATTTTGTGAGTGATATAGCCAATAACAATAATAAATGGTAATTTGCGATAATGAGATGGCTATGCAAATTTATTTATCAATTCATATTTGGCTAAGTCTAGATCATTTATCAACTTTTTCTTCTATGAGAATTATTGATATACTTCCAACATATTCATCCATGTGTTTACGTTTTAAGGTGCTTCTAAAGATAACATTATAGAATGAAGAAAGATAAGAAACAATGCCTAACAATCCACCATCCCTTCCATGAAGTCCATCTTCTCTTTCAAATATTTTTATTATAAGATGTTTTTTATTATTTTGTTGAGTTTGCAAGTTCTGCATAAAATTAGATGTAAGTACTAATGACATTTCACTTTTTAAATTAAGAATGGGTTGTTCAAATGAAAGATCAAAACAAAAGCTGTATGAATCAACTGATTGAACTGAGTACCTATATATTTCAGAAATTGTTATGTAGATACAGTTGATCCATGTAATAAACAGTTATCAACAATCAAATAAATAAACGAATGGAAATAATTTTTTGTATATTTTTTTATGCAATATGTTCATTAACTTTCTCTCCACGTAATATTTCTTCATACATTCTTTTTCCTTATTCTCCAACTTCGCCATTTCTTTTTCTAAATCTTGCTTCTCCTCCATCCACATTTTTATTTCTTCATCACCATACTCCTTATCCCATAATTTCCGTTTCAACTCATATAGCCACTTTTCTTTTTCTCTCTCTTTCCACTTTTCCAATTTCTTTTTCGCCTCTTCAAACCACTTTCTGTCTTTCGATATTTGCCATTTTTTTAACAAGAGTTGAGGGAAACTAAATGACGAAATTTATGTTATTTAATGTTAAACGGTACCAAATGATTGTGAACAAATTAAGAAATTACGAGTTATAGAAAAGTCTAATCGCTTATCTATAATAAGTAACTCTTGATAAAAAATTGTTATAATTAATCTTATGAATAACTTTTAAAAGAAAATATGAACTTAAATCGACAATTTTCATGGACCGTGGGTCCTAAGTTTCAAAAATAAGGTTCTGGATTTCCGCATAAATTTAATATATATTTTAATAAATATTCAATTAGTACATCATCGTTAGAAAGTAAAATATACCGCCAGCAAAATAAAAATCTTCTCTAGAACTAGCAAATTTTATTGGGACTCTCAACTTTTATTGTAATACAATAACTTTAAACATTATAAGGTTATTTTGTTTCGGTTATACTAAATCCGGTTAGTAATTATCTATCAAAAAGAGTTTAAAATGGTTCACAATTGTGAACTCATCCGAAATCCGAATTATTGGCAACAGGTCATAAAAAAAAAGAATTATTTTTTTTAAAAAGAAAATCTGTCATGTAATGCCATCGCAAAATTATACCCGTTCCCTAAAAACGTGTTTCAAAAGTCGGCCGGAAAACTCGCTCAATTTTTGATAATAAGTGTTTTCTTTGTTATAATAAATTGATTACCTTTTGGGTAATTTTTGTAATACAATTTGCTTAAACATTGTATTATTGTATTCAATTGATCCGAATCCCTAAATAAGACCAAAAAAATTATCTCCTCCGCCTCATTCAACAACTTGCGCCATTTTCTATTTATTTGTTTATATATTTACAAAAACAAGATTCAGTTGAACTGAATATCAATCAAGAAAGAAAAAAAAATCTACCTATCTAAATTATTGTAATAACAAGAAAGGTGTAACTCTTTTAAAGTTATTGTTTGTCCATAATACACAGTTTTTCAATTGTGGAATTTTGAAAAAAATAATCTTATGCCAGTGAAAATCACCAACAGTAATTATACAAAATAAACTTTATTAAAGTATTCAAATACTAAAAGATATTATATAATAAAACCATAAGTATAATAATTATTAGTTATCAAACTCAATTGGTGTGAATTTACGATTCGATAATAAGTAGAAACATTTTCTACTCATTATCAAAAAAAAAAAATGGGAGTAGCTAACGGCAAATATGACGTCGATTTTACTGAAGAAGGTTAGTTTTTACTGTTAGTTTGGTTGAAACTACTTTGCTAACTTCTTTTAATTTTTATAGTAAATTTATCACACTTTAAGTTACTACGTGTTGTTGGACGAGGTGCATTCGGAAAGGTATTAAGTGAACAAAATATTTCGCATGTTTTATTTATAGATTTTTTTAACAAAAAAAAATCACATTATAGGTTCGAATAGTTGAACGGCGCGACAACAAAAGACTATTTGCATTGAAATACATTTCAAAGGAAGAATGTATCAAAATGGATGCTTTGCGAAATATATTTCGAGAACGTTCCATGTTGGAAGAATTGGATCATCCTTTGGTATGCAATTTACGCTTTGCATTCCAGGATGATGAATATATGTACATGGTCATGGACCTTATGTATGTGTGTGAATCAGTAGATCAATTCAAATATCATCTTTTTGATTTCAATTCATTTATTCATTTTGCTAATTGTAAATTTATAGGATGGGTGGTGATTTAAGGTTCCACCTTAATAGAAAAACGTTCACTGAAGATGCGATACGATTCTGGATAGCGGAATTAGCATGTGCAATAAGATATCTACATTCAAAAGGTGTTGTTCATAGGTAAATCTTATTATATTACATGTAATTATTTTTATATTTTTTTTTTGTTTCACTTAAATTTTCTTATAAATGCAAATCATCTTTAGGGATATAAAACCTGATAACGTCCTTCTTGACGACCAAGGACATGCACATATAACTGATTTTAATATCGCAACACACATAAGGCCAGATAAACTTTTGACATCACACTCTGGGACGTGTGCTTATATGGGTAAGTCTTGTTTAATCATGACTTATTATTCTATTTCAAGTTTTCTTTATTAAACTCAACTTTATCTTCCTGATATCACAGCTCCAGAGGTATTTAGAGGTGGTGGTTATGGCATCACAGTAGATTGGTGGTCTCTTGGTGTCATGCTATATGAATGTATATATGGAAAGGTAGATGCTTATTTCCAAGAAATGCTAGATAATCTTTACGTTATTGAATGTCAAAGGTAAACAATGTATTGATTTTTTTTTATTATTATTGTTTATAGCGTCCATTTGATTGTGATAATCAAGATGAGTTAAAGAAAATTATTGTAAAAGCACCTATAAAGTATCCTGACATGGACCCTCCAGTCAGTCCGGCTTGTGTCTCCGCGATTCAAGGGGTGAGTAAATCGATTGGCATTTAATCTCCTACCATTAATCGATTACAAACAATTTGTTATTGATTCAAAAAGTTTTATTTTATTTCTTCATTTGTTTCTTCAAGTTTCTTGAACGCGACATAAATCGTCGTTTAGGATGTGGACCTAATGGGTTCGCTCTTATTCAAAGTCATCCATTTTTCCGTAATATTGATTGGCCTTCGTTAGAAAGTAAACGTTTAAATCCGATCTTCAAACCTTCTTCAGATCGTATTAATTTTGACGCTACTTATGATTTGGAAGAATTACTTCTTGAGGAACAACCTTTAGATGAAAGACAAAATAGACGTCGAAAGTCAAGAAGACGTAAAGATGGTGAAGGTTCTGAGAAGGAAGCATATTATCAATTAATTGAAGAGAAATTTAAGCCTTTTGATTATACTGTGTTTGAAAAATACGAAGGTTGGGTTGATCCAGTAACAAGATGTGTTGCGGATCCTCCGGAATGGGTTAAACCTGCTGCTGTTGAAGTTTTGAATCAAAAAGAAAGAGGAAGTCAAGATGAGATCGGAGCTAATTCGGGTGATCTTAGTAATTTGGCTGGGATATCTTTAGATAATGGAATTAAAATTTGAAAATTTTATTTATTCACAGAAAAAAAAGAAAAAAAAATTGGTTTATTTCCAATCATTTTTTATTTTTATTTTTGACTTTTATATAAAATTCAAAATATTTATTCATCTCAATAATGTGAAATTACAAGTATTCTTTCTATCTTAAAATAAGACATTATTTATTGTAACCTTTCCAATGCATCAATTAAGGTCGTCAGTTCACCTTTTATATTTTGTGTGTATCTTATAATTTTCTCCTAAATTTTTTTTTTTTTTTTTTTTTTTTTTTTTGTAAATTTAATTTAATCAATATTAGTCGTAACAATAAAAAAAAAATGAAGGAAAATATATATATATATATATATATAATAATAATAATAATAATAATAATAATAATACCTTATTATCTAAAACCTCGATACTTTCAGTATATGGATTGTACCTTACGGAAAATGGTCTATTCAATGTTTTTGCGAATTCTCGAACTTTTTGTTGAGCATCTTTAAACGATTCTGCAACAAAGTAAATCTTTGATACAAAAGGTTGAAATTTAAAATATTGTCATGGTTGATATCAATGTAAATTTATTCAAAGTGTTAAAACAAAAAAGTTACCGGTTGATATTCTGTCACTATATATTTTTGTACGGCTGTCTTAGAAGGTTCAAATGACAATTTTTGGGGTTTATCCGATAAAGCGTACTATCAAAAATAAATCACAAGTGAATTGGGAATCATTTTAACAAGTGAATTTTGCAGTAAAACGGTTATAAAATTAACTTACTTCCAATTCACCAAAAGAAGACAACAAACCGGCGCCGTAAGCACGAATTTCATTTTCTTGGCGACAAAGACCAAATTCTACCGTAAACCAATAAATCTATAAAAGGAAATTATGGGGAATAAAAAGTTGATCCTATGATTTAAGTATAAACCTCCCCCAAATTAAATACTTCAAATTATTTACCGTAGATAATTTTTCAATATCACTATCGCTAGCGCCTAATGATGACAACCCGATTTCCTAAAGAAAAATATAACAATCTTAACATTCAATCATTTAAAAATATTAAATTAACAAATGTATATAATATTTACCTGAGAAAATTCGGCGAAGTCTGGATCACAAAATAATGGAGCCTACAAAAATCATTCAAACATAAATTATTGCCATTTCAATTATGGCAACAACTTAATATGTAATGTAAACTCACGTGACCAAGGAGTTCGTGGCACACATCACTAAAAAAAAAGCATTATAACATGTAAATTTTTTCATAATAAATTGATTGATAAAATACTTACGGTTCTGGAGTGTAAAAAGGTTTGGAATGATGTCGAATGTATTGAGTAGAATGAAATACTCGAAAAGCGAGACTATTCAAGAAATCACGTGATGAAAGTAAACCCATAACGGGACGAAGAGTGAATCCAGTACATTCTGAAATATATATAAGAAATTTGTATATTAGATAAAGTTTGAAGTTGTCAACCGGTCAGAAAAACGGTCAGCTTTTGTCAAACTCGTTAGCATTCGAATCGCGTACCTTTCAAGAATTTGGACACAGTCTCTAATTGTGGAATATTATCTTCTCCGTAACCACAATTCTGGACCAACAAAGGGAAAACATATTGATGTTCTCTACAAGCATGGGTAGGAAATAGTTTCGTCAAATTACGAAAAACGGTACCCCAAGTAGAAATCTCTTCAGGTGCATATTTAATCTCTGGGATAGGTTGTCCATGACGATAAATTTTGGCAAGACGCGTAATCTCAGAACGACGAGCTCTATAAACAGGATCTTTGGCACCAGGATGATCGGAGTCTAATATAGAAATAGGTATAAAAGTTTAATATCATATCATAACCATAATATTATACACATCTAATAATATCAAAGAAATCAAGTTTACCCAGTTCTTCACCCATCTCCAAAACTTTATCAGCAAAAGAATCAAGATCGGATTTTTTACGTGGGAACCACGGGACTTGTTCTAAATGGTTTATCGTTTAATAATATAACACAAAAGAAAGAAATTTGTAATAAATAAATAGCATACCTGTTGTGGCACTTGTTGTACTCGTACTTACTACTTTAACTTGCTTTGTGATCTTTTCTAATGCCGTGACGATACGAGAAAGTTGTTTCGTATCTTCGGCACTAAAGTCCACGAAAAAATCATAATCCCAATCAGGTGTTCTACTTGGACGACTACAACGCAAATCATTGATGTATTCAAAAAAGTTGTTAAAATCAAATGATTAAAGTAAAAGAAAAAAATACCTTTCAATTTTAGTCAAAGAAACATTTAAATCCTTAATAGCTGTTAAGCATTCATCCAAAATACCCAAACGATCATTAACACTGAAAAGTATGGTAGTAATAAAGGGACCACGTTCGTTAATATCGGCAATGTAAGAGACTTCCGAGTACATTTTGAAAGAGATTGATGTGATAAATGTCTAATATGGCGTTATTTATATGACATTTTTGACATTTTTTGGGGGAGTTGGTCTGTGCAGCGTGAGAAAATTCATGACTATTTATAGCTTTTTCATTGTCATATGGCGCCACATCAAGGGAATGGATAAATTGAATTTTGCCATCTTGACAATGATCATTTAATGTAAAATGTATATTAAACCTTCATTAAATAACTATTCGTATATCAGAATATAGGAAAAAGGGGTCTTTACCTCCCATATGACCCACCGGTGATAGTCACCTTATTCTAAATGTTTAATGATTTGTTGATCATACATAATTGCATGTTAAATTATAACATACTATGTAAATTTTAAAATATTTAGTAGGTGCATTAAGCAACCATAATCCGAGTTGAAATAAATGATCATTCTATCTTATTATAACTTATCTACATGTTAATAAATTTATAAAAAAAAACGGAAAGAATTCCCTTTATTATAAAAATTGGTTTTACATTACAAATTCCAAAACTATTCTATAATAAAAAAATATTAATAATGAGAAAAATATTTCCATTTATTTTATGGATAGAGAAATGAAAATAAATAAATAAATAAATATGAACAAATAAATAAGACTGTACAAAAGGTAATGAAATAAATAATTTAATCATCTTTCTATAAACTTTTTTTTTAGATGGCATTTTTCACATACCGGTTAAACATTAATAATTAATTAATTAATTAATTAATTAATTTATAATAAAGAAGAGACAAATTAGAATAACTTTAAATGTTTAACAAATAAATTCTAAACTTTTTATACAAATGAATTACAATTAACTAAATATTATTATTTAAAATTAAATTACTTTTTACTATTATTCTCACCATTTAATCTATTATCTGTTCCCATTGCAGCGTTTCCATTTTGAATTTCTTTTAATATCTCTGGAGGGATATGATGATGTGATTGTTTTAATTTTTTTATAGAAGTATCAGAACACGATTCTATAGATTTAAACCACGGATCTTGTTTAATTTGGGCAATAGTAATACGTTTCGTCGCATTAGGTTCTAATATTTTATACATCAATTCTTTACAACCATAAGGTAATTTTTCAAATGGTTCATATTTTTCAGAATTTCTCCTCTCTAAATAATTAGCATAATTTGGATCCGTTGGTGTTGCCATTCTGAATGGGATACTTTGGTACATCATCACATAATATACTATACCACACGCCCATACATCGACCAACCTCGCATCATATTCTTTTGTTTCAAATTGCTCCTAAAAATTTTTTTTAAAAAGAAAGGTAAGAATACATATAATTATATAAATTCACCATCTCCGTAACTTATAACTTACCGGAGAGATGTACGGTTCGGAGCCACATAAACCTTTTGACATATGAGCAGCCTCTTCCCAACAAGTTCTAAATACATCAGAAACACCAAAATCGGTGATTTTTAAGTGACCTTTGGCGTCAAGTAAAAGATTTTCCGGTTTAATATCTCTATGAGCGACGCCCATATCATGTAGATAATCTACACCCATAATAAGTTGTTTGAAACAACAATTTATTTCCAACGGGGTCATATGATTAGATTTAATAGCGGTGTATAAATCACCACCAACACAATATTCCATTACTTCACACCAATTATGATTTTCGTCTTGTATTAAATCAACCGTACGTACCACATTAATATGTTGTAATGTTGAGCTTATGCAAAATTCACTCGTGAGTTTTTTGACATACTCCTTTTCCGTTTCATTCTTCTTTCTTTTTCTAAATTCCTTGACGGCAAATTTTCTTTCAGAATCTGATTTATCAAATTTATGAGCGAGACGTACTACTGCTGTTGCACCTTTACCAATACAACCTTTATCACATACACCATATTTTTTAATTAACATTGATTCACTGTCTATCAAACCATTATCGCTACCACTATCACTTCTTTGCATTTGTTTATGACTATCAAGATCAAGAGTAGGGTTAAGGATCTCTTTCAACATTGATAATTTATCAGACGTGTTATTAATAAATATGAAATCTCCTTTCTCTTCTACGGGCGAGGCTACAAGGAAAGCTTGCAATTTTGCTTGCTGTTGTTCTCCATTTCCTTTTGATTCATGATGAAACAATTTTTGCACGCTTTGTCTCACCAAGCTCATCCTTTTATGTGAATCATGATGTACGATAGAAGTAGTATCAGTAGTAGTGGTAGTAACCATTGATAATTTATGATCAATTGGTGATGAAGAGTTAACGACAACGTTATCGTTAGTAGAAGGAGCATTCGAAAGGGAAAACGTTTCAGCTGTAGGTGTAGCAGGCTTACTGTTAGATGATGGGAAAGATTTCTTATCATTATTAAAAGATTTATTTGGGTTGGTTATATCAACAAGTAACTTTTTATTGTTTTTTGAGGTGGAAGCTGAGATTATTCCATTATTAATACGCTCTCTTGTATCTCTAACAGCTCTTTCTTCTGATTCAGTCATACGACGACGAGCTTTACTATCAAGAGCTGGTGCCCAATAATCTGTAGTAAAGGTAACCATCTTTGTTTTGTCGAAAGGAAAGTGGTACGATTTAAAAAATGGGTTGTGAAATGAACTTTATAAAGCTTACTTATATAATGGTTTTTTAAAAGATCCTTTTTTTTTTTAAAAGGTATTTTATTTGAATAATATTTTTTTCTTTTTTGAAAAAAAAAGGGGGGTCGGGCTGTTAATTTATTATAATATTTTATGTGTCAAATGTCAAATCAAATGACAAATGATTGCCTACAATAATCTAATATAAATTCAAATAATTAATCGGGCAATTAGGTTATGGTCATTCCCAAACATATTACTTCATATCAACAAAAATACTGAAAAGAATTAATGAAAAATGTTGTGAAACATGAAGAAAAATTCAAAAAAATAAAAAAAAAAGAGATTTCTTTAATAATAATATATTATTTATTTACAGCATTTATATACAATATATTGATAATAAAAAAAAGATCCCGTTTATTTATCATAATCACAAAACATCTTACTACCGATAGAAGATCCATCGGGATATAAAGATTGTTGTTCATTTTAACAATATGTAATTTTTAGTTAAAGACAAAACTGGATTTTTTTTGGGCTTGTTCAAATACAATCCGTAACATCTTGGCAACGGTTTAACAAATCAAATTGTACTCAAAAATATAAATTGACTAGCTAATAAATTTTCTATATTTTGATTAGACATCTGACTATATTTAGAAATACGCAAAAAAATTTACCAGGTGCCAAGGCTGTAAAGTAAATCAATAATAATATATTTGCTACATAAATGTTTATGTTGTGTTTCTATATATAAATAAAAAGGTAACCATACAGAATCAAGTTACAATCGATTACTACATTTATATTCTCAAAACCTATTTGTAGAAGTATTTTTTTGGTGGATCGGGTATTGGATTAAAAAAAATATGATAATCGCGTTATCTTTATGATCTTTTTATTATATTTGAAAATTCATATTAAGCATGGCTGCATTGCTGCATTGATTACTGCATGTACGTATGACCTACTTGTGGAGAATCCCCGCTCCTTTTTCCAGTTTATTTATTTTATTTTAAAAAAAAAATTTGTCCAACGATTCCTTATGTCATTAGAATTCATTTTTTTTTTCATCTGAAACAATGTACGTAAATGACGTACAGTTAGTTGATGTCGGCCGATTCACGTGTGAATTATTTCATTAAAGAACTTCTGATATGAGCTAGATTATTCAACTTACCCAGCATTAAACATAACTATAATAGGATAATTTATTTAATGGAAAAATTACGAATTTTAAACTCAATTTTTACAAACCAACCCCCTATGGGTTCCTTTTGTGGCAGTAAAAATTTAAATGGATCAGTAAAAAATGATATCATCGTCATCTTATTTCTAGAAACAGTTTCGTGATTTTAATATGAGTTGGTAGGATCTTAAACCGATCTGCCTAATTTCCAAAGAAAAAAAAAAAAAACGAGACATAATTTTTATTTATTATTTTATTTCAGGAAAGGTACTAGTAGAGCTTTGGGGAGGTTACCTCAACATATTCGCGCAAAAACTGGACTTGGAACTTGTAAGTGATTACGTATAAGAAAGATCTCGTTATTCCTTTAAAGAAAGTTTCAAGATGAACTGATGTTTTTATAAAATAACAGCTACTCAAGATACTGACTATGATGATATTCTCAATCGTTTCGTGGAGTTGCATAATAAGACAGAACAGATGTATAAAGATGCTGTTAAATTTAGGGACGGTATCTCATGTAAGTTTCAAAATATTTGATTCTTTTTAATTCTTATCCTATACTCAAAATCATACTTTGAATTTTTCATATAGTTATTCTGAATCATCAGGCTAATTTTTCCGATATTATGGTAGAATTATATAACCCTATTGTGGGTAAGAATGAAGCTGAATCAACTACTCGTCGGATTACAACTCCTGTTCAATCTATGAATTCTATTAAAGAATTTCAAATGACGATGGTCGAATTGAGAGATATTATTTTACCTGAATTGGTGAGCCATTTTATAATATTTTTTTTTTTTTTTTTTTTTTTTTTTTTTTTTTATATTTATAAAATTTCATTAAAGATTATTCAATATTTTAGGATCACGTGGATAATATGGTAGTATCACCTTCTAAGGACTTCATGGACATTATTAAAATGATTAAGAAAACTATTATAAAACGGGAGCACAAAAAGGTGGATTTTGACCGATACACAACTAGTGTGAGAAAGCTTCAAGAAAAAAAGGATAGATCGTTGAGTGAGGGAAAGTCATTGGTTAAGGTATTATCGAGAAATACGATGCTTAAATTTTCAAGATTATTATTGTATTTTGAAGATTCTAAATTTTTTTTTTTTGGCACAAGGCTCAAGAAAACCTTAGCAAGGCGACAGGAGAATACGAATATTATAATGAATTACTCAAGAAGGAATTACCCGCATTCTTTGAATACAGGGCTCAATTTATTGAATTAATTATCACAAATTTTTATAATTTACAATTAAAAATTTACGGGATTTTACATGAAAAAATGGAACTTTTAATTAATAAAACTGGCTACTTTGATGTTCGGTCTGATATATTAGAAAATTATAATGAAAGGACAGTAGAAGTAAATCAACAAATGGAACAATTAACTTTATTACATAGATTTGACAAGAAAGGATTGAAAAAAGAAAGTAAGATGATCGCTCCCTTACATCACGACTTTGAAATTTCCCTATTTTTATACTAACGGGATTCTTTCGATATAATCTTAGATAGTGACACAAGTGACGGGACAGGGTATTCTAGTAAAAATTCCGCGTATAAATCAAAGAATAACGATAGTGAGGATGATGCGGATGCGCCACCACCTTACTCATCTATAGCTACTCCTCCTGTAAAAATGCCAACTGGACCAAGCTCTGCAGCTAGGTCCCCATCAAATCCAAAACTTTATCCTATTTATAATGCTCCTCCATCTCTTCCTCCTCATGGTTCAAAACCAATTACCGTCCAGTATGTAAGAGCTTTGTACGATTATGATGCGCAAGCAGGAAGTGATTTATCATTTAAAAAAGGTGATAAGATTGAGGTTATTAATCGAACAGCAAATGTAAATGATTGGTGGAAAGGAAAATTGAACAATGTAATTGGTGATTTTCCAGGTAATTTTTTTATTGACATTATAACATAATTTCATTGATTTTGATCAATATATAAAATTTTTTACCTTTTTTTTTTTATAGGAAATTACGTTGAAGATTGGTGATAATTTCACATTAATTTATAATTTATTGAACATTTAAATTAAGATTTTTGAAAAAAAAAAAATAATATTAAAATGAAAATTTCTCATTTTGAATGTTGGGTAATGGTACTGTGTTATTTAAGACAATTATTAATATTATTTTAGCGGGAAATGGAAAGTCACTAGACATTTTTTTTATAAATAGAATGTATAATGATATTTGTTCTTTAAAAAATTTTTGGGATTACGAAAATCTGTCGAAATATTATCTTTATAAAGATACTTCAAAATGAACATTTTAAAAATTTGCATTAAATTAATAAAAAAATATAAATTTTAATTTTAATTATAAAACATTTAAAATTATTTATTTATGAATAAAATTTGTAATGCTTTTATATTAAGAATAAGATAATTAAATAATAAATTTAGATTCAATAGTCGTAAATTAAAATTATATAATTATTATTTATAATAATTAAAAATAAGATTTCTTTTATATTTAATATATTTTAACTTATAATAATTAAAATTATTACTTTATATTTTTAAATATAATTTCTAATGAAAAAAATGATAATAAAAATATCTCTTATATTTTTATTATATATAAAGTTTTATTATCATTCACAAATATTAAATAGTATAAAAATAAATCAATTTTATTAAAGTTAATTAAGTTAATTCTAATAATTATTATATTGATATTGATAAAAAACTTTTTTTATTTAATATTAAAAAAAATATGATGAATAAATTATTATTATATCAATTATATTTTAATAAAATATAAATCACTTATATTAAAAAATAATATTGAATAAAAATCACCTATAAAATTATCTTTAAAATTACAATTATTTTATAAATTTATTGATAAATATAATTATAAATTCAATATAACTTATTAAAAATTGAAATATAGATAAAATATAAAATCAATACAGATTTATATTACTAAAAATAACAAAAATTGGTTTATTTATAATCAAAATTCTTGTTAAAAAAATAAAATTAATACTTATGATTATTTTTAAATAAAAATGTTAAATAAATCTTTTATTAAATATAATAGTTAAATTATAAAAAAAAATTGTTAAATATAATAAATAAAGGAGTAGGGCAAAAATGGGGTTTCTGGGACAGAATTCAAAATAGTATTCAGAAAAGATTCCTGACCGTCCACGAATCCATTTTAGCTATATGAATCAATTATCAAATTCAAACCTCTAATGCATTTTGACTCAATTTTAGATGATGATATCGACCTTGACTAGGAATTAACCTATTTGATACCAAGAATTACAATGTTTGATTTAACTATTCTAGCCTGATTTTAATCCCAAATAATATTT